CTGCTTTCTACAAAGTCTCATCAACAACATCTTTAGAAACAAACATCAACAACCAGGAAGCAGCTTCACCTCTGATCACACACACACTCAACTCTACTCACTCACCCGGAGGAACAACACTCAGTGTAAAGCTGCAGATGAGATCCAATGATTGTGTTTCCTCCATTAAGACACGACACTCATATGTTCCATTATCAGCAGCCGTCACATTGTACAGAATCAAAGACACATTTCCATCCTTCATCTCTTTGTCCTGCAGATCCACCCGGTTCTCAAAGGATGGATCCTGATCATCTTCTTTGGGCTTCTTGTTTTTCAACACTAAGACATATTTATCTCTCAGGTCAGCTCTGCTCCACTCTACAGTCTCACCGTTGTTGTTTGGAGCTCGACATGTCAGAGAGACGTTCTGTCCAGACACAGCTGGGATTTCTTGGTCTGAAAAAGGAAACAACAGAGCAGAGATGTTAAAGGTCAAAGTACAACAGTTCACTTCTACAACAGCCAATCAGAGTGAAGAGTCTATCTCTGATCCAGGTTAATTGTGGCTGAATCAAACCATCAGACCTGTTAGAATCTGTCAGAATAAGAATACACAGAGGAATAAAAGCTCCTGAACAGATTGTGAAGCACATTTCATTAAAAACAAAACTTAAAATAACATTAAACTTTACTGTCACTTTTGTGAGCATGAGATAAACTTGCTTGGGTTGTATTGACAAGATGCCCAAAAAATTTTGTCTCCCAGTTTCACCATCACAAATTACCATCATCATGATCCAGCACATTTAAATCAGTTCGAGTGAGTGATTAAATGATTAAATGATTAAATAATTAAGTGAGCCTTCAGTTCATACACCAGGCCCTCTGAACCTCATACTAATTAGGGCTGGGTATCGTCACTGATTTCTAGAATCGATTCGATTCCGATTCACAAGGTCCCAAATCGATTAAATCCCCAATTTCGATTCGATTTGAATCAGGATCATTTTGACTCAAACAGTCAGAAATATTATAATTCTGATCATTTATCAGTACTGACACTTGTGAGACTTCATCAGAGGTGTGAGCATCACAGCAGATGCCTTTATGTCAAAGTAACTGAGGATAAAACACAGAAAAACCTAAAGGAGATTTTCCTGGTCTGGCTCTTTATAGCAGATAACCTTAAAATATTCTGCAGTGGAACAAAAATGGAAGAAAACCATGAATCAACATATGAACATTACCTGATGCTGCTGAAGTGAAGCAGAGCAAAGTTACAGAGGTTTTATAGAGACACAGCTAAGCTTTCTGTAATTTGGCATCGTTTTAAAAAGTTTACATTTCTTTGGAATTGAACAGCAGAAATTAGGCTTTCTTATCGGAGGTCATTTAAAAAACAAACAAACAAACAACAAAAAAAAAAACTGTGGCCGACAGCGCTGTACATGCCACATGCCTTGTGCGTAATAAGCAAACAAATAATGCAGAAAACAGATTTGAGATGGGAAACTGAATTCATGTGGATGTTTATCAAATGTGAAGCGTAGTTTTGATCTTGTTTTGCTGCTGGTTCAGTGCATTTTGGTTGGAGTGAGACAAAACCTGCAGCATCAGAATCTGTGAGCTGTCACCTTTCAGCACTGACGGCGTGTCCATGTACGTACTGTTGGGTGAAGAAGCCGATATCTCACTGATTCTTTATCTGCTCTCGTTTTCTGTTTTTGCTGTTTGGTGGTTGTTGAAATGAAAACTGTAACCTGAGATTCTGACAAAACACATTTATATTTAAAAATCAATTCAGTAATATTCAATAATATCAATAATAATTTGATATCACGTTTTTCAAGCTAGAATCAATTTTAATCGGAAATTTGATTGAAACTAGGCCATATCATACCCTTCATATTATACCGGTATAATGTTAGGCAATGATAAGAAAATGAAATATTTTAAATGAAAGATAAAAAGTGAAGTTTGTGAAGTTTTCTATCATCTGTGTATCACTCAGTACAAAATAGTCAAAATCAAACAAAGTCCAGCTTCTGTAAACCTGCATTACATTGCAAACTCACCTTCTCGTGGCCTGAATGTCATTTTCTCAAGGAACATAACCAAAAAAACTTTTTTAATGAAAGATAAAAGTGACATTTGTGAAGTTTTATCTGTGTAGCCAAACATATTTCAGACCCAGTAATCAAAAATGTTCAGATGTGTCCTTTTGAAGTTTGATTTCTTAATCATAAAAGAGGCGTGGCCACAACTGGAATATGCAAACCATGACTACTTGGTTATATTTTGCTTGTCCTTCAAGTCGATTTAAATGTGTTTCTTTTAGTGTGTGTGTGTGTGTATGCGTGTGTGTGTGTGTGTGTTGTTTATTTATTTTATTTACCTAAAAGTCACCTTAAACATTCCGCAGATGCTGTGTTTATTCATCCTGTCTTTAATCTAACCCCCATTTTTTAACATTTTTTGATTACTTTGTTTATTTATTTCATAGTTTCATAAGTTCTGACTGGAGAGATGCGTTTTAATGAGCTGCTGGATGTGTGAATTTCCCCTGATAAATAAAGTATTAAATACCTGCCTGTGTATCTGATATATTTGCAGTATTAACTTCTGCTCTGTGCTCTTGCTCAACTGAATGTATTTATATGGACTTTGTGTGCACAGCCTACATGATTAACATGTACTGTAGTCCTTAATTAAATTGCAGTGTTGGCAATAACACAGAGAACAATTATCAATAACATCTCTTATTATTCCCCAAATTAAATAATTACAGATATGAACGAATTTAGCTTCTAAAGAAAAGAAACTTGGCTTTTAATGACTTAAAGGTTCTGTTTTTACTCCACAGCAGCTTCAGCTCATGTCAGAGGAATAACCAGTGTGCAGGAATTTAAGAAATAATAGTTGATGGAGGTGTAGATTGATTGTGGATCACTAGTGTGGGAAGCATGACTCAACTAGCAAACTAACAACATAATTTTTTCACTGACAGCTTCTTTAGGTTTAAAGTTTTTGTTGAAAAATGTTTTCATGACGCTGCAGATTTCTGATGTTCTGTGTAAATGTAAGCATGTAACAATTAGATTATTTCTGGTAGAAAAGTTGTGTGAAACTTAAGTTCTAACTGACTGAACCACCTCATGTTGTGTAGTTTTCTGGATTTGATGCTTATTCATTATATAAGATATACAGTTCACTTTTTTAATGGAAATGAAATGTGGGCTAAAGAAAAAAAAGTTAAAAAGATTAGTTTAGATAACATGTGTACAATTGATATATTTTAACCATATGTATGATACATATTACAGAATGTAACACCTGCATATCTGTAAAGAAATGACTTTGATTTTGCCTCCCTGAGAACATTTCTTTAGAAAGCTGTGCCTCGACACTCCCTCTGCTGGTCGGTTATAAACTTTGTTTTACAAAAAAATCTTCTGTTCACAAAGTAATTGTGCCGTTCGTGTGTGAGTACATCTATAAACTAACACCCACTTTTTCGCATGACAGAAGAGGTTTGGTGACAGGAGACCTGCGTCTTTGTGAGCGGCCAAAACTAAAACAGCTCGAACAACTAAAAGCGCTCAGCTGTAGTAAGAAATGAATCAATAAGGTTTTTGATATAAAACTCACCTGCACAGGTAAACCAAACGAGGGAGAAGGACACAAAAGTCCAGCAGAGCGTCGAAGGTGTTGCAGCAGTCATCATGAACCTGAAGTGAGGCACCGACCGAGCCTCTTCCAAACGTAACCCGTTTGTCAGTGCGCTGCTGCCTTTAGGTGCACTCTGTTACTGTGACAGCCTGGTTATAATGGTCTTAGAAATACGTAAACAAGTCCTTATACCAATGCAAACGTTGTTTATCACCTTCTTGTGTATAAAACATGAAAACTATCTCCAAGGGTCCTGGCGACGTGACGAACAAAGATCGTTTTCTGGAAATTTAACGATAAAATTTGATATTGAAATTTTAGATCATGTTTTAATTTTGTGATGTCAGCACTGAACTTTGTGAAAAGCTGGAACAAAAGGAACAAGAGAGGTGATGACAGATGTGTTTATGCCAACAACTGAAATTTAAGAAAAATAAATAAAGACTTTAAAACAATCTGCTGTCTTTCCGTATGTAGATGGTTTAGTTTACGAGGTGCACCTAAAGACAACTACCACTGACTGTCACGTGGTCGGTCAAAATGGCTGTATCCCAATTCAGGGTCTGCAACCTTAAAGTACGCAGCCTCAACGGCTGTGTCCCACTTCAGGGTCTGCACGCTTGAAGTACGCACACTACGCGTAATACGTACGGTGCGTACTATAAGTACGAGAAGTGCGGAAGTGAGAGGCTTGTGAAATAGGACGGTCTAGCCTTCGTCGCGCTGTTCAGGTTGTCTAGCAACCATGATACTAACCGCGAGAAACGTCTCATACAGCTTTGTTTGACATAAATGAAGGAGAAAAAAATGTTTTGTTGGTCAATCATTCAATTCATTCATTTTTGTCATGACATCACTTTAATTAGTTGAGTATCTGAGGCTGAGACCACAGGACTGTAAAACATGATTCAAGGGCTTCATTTCTGTACTGAACAGTTATTTCAAGATTAGTTAGTAAATAACAGTTAATGTTGTTCATGAGACTAAAATCATCTCACTGTGGTAATGTAAATGTAATATGGCCAATATTATAGTTATTGTCAGATTGTCAGATTATTATGATATATATATATACATATATATATATATTATGCTTTACAACTAAGTTAACGCTGAAAGTACAAACATCACTAATGTCACACAACTTTGCCACATGTGGTATGGGTTCTTCGTTATTAAACATTCGCACATAAATAAGTGACGTCATTCAGTACTTACTTTTGACAGTTCACTCTTCGGCCGCTCCCTTCTGCCGTATTTTGCGGC